GGGTACGGGCTCAAAAATAGCTGAAGAGAAGCTCACGTAGAGGTGTCATGGAATATAGACAAGCAGTCGTGAAGAAAACAAGTTCAGAAAATAAGCGTGAGCTCCTCTCTTTTGTGTGGGTTTCAGGAGTTGGGTTTTGTTTCTCTATTGAAGATGCTCCCAGTGGTCCTTATGGGTTTTATCCACGACGTCTTAAAAACCAAGTGGTGCAACTTGAAAACCTCTCGGACTATATCAGTGAGAGTCTGTTTGCAGAAAGCATTTTAGGACCACTTCAGTCTCTTCACAGCGTAATGTCCAAATCAGGCTTTTTGCTGAAGTTCCGCATAAGAGTTCACAGCTGTTCAAAACTTAAACCTACTTCATCTTCCTCCAGGGTGTATGTATTCTGTGTCTGGCAAGATGGTTCTTCCAGTGGCCAAAGCCATCATGCCCTCTGCTCGCTTTCTTTAGCAAAATCCTTCTTCCTTCAGTCTGGCAGTACAAAGGGCTGCTGAGAAGCATCACGCCCTCTCTCCCTTGCGGGCTGTGGGCTTATTGCTCCATTTTCCTCTTCCTTCCCTGGAAGTGTCTGCTGCTAACCAGGAAGATAAGGGAACTCGGGCTGCCCTTGACAAAGATAGAACATAGAATAGAGTTGGAAGGGATCTACAATGACTATTTATTCCGTGGCAGGCACCTTTGTCTCCTGCATTTCAGGAAGGCTCTTTGGCAAACCCATCTCAGTGCAGTCTGTCCATGCCAGGTGAGGATGTGCCTCTTCCACTCTCCCAAGGCCCCTCAGGTGATGCAGGTCCTGTCCAGCAAGGACGTTGTTCCCTCAGCTCCAGGATTCGGCGGGTCGATCCTGGCAGGGCTGTCATTTCTCACCCTCTGGGGCGATGGAGGAACGCAGGCACTGATGATGAGCACTTCCCTGATGCAGCATCCTTCTCTTCTTCCCCTGCCGTATCAGCTAGGAGCAGAGAGGCATCCAGCTCCCACCCGCTGTGATGCTGATAGACATACAGACAGGGCCCTGGGGAAGAGGAGGACACTCTCAGGTCTCTGAGACATATCTTGTCTGTCTACGTTATCCCTTCGCTTCCCACGATTGCATCTTGAGCCTGTGGCTGCGAGGACAGTATCTGCAGCGGTCGCTAGAGCTATTCCCAAGAGAACAAACACAGCTCTCCTGAGGTCTGCAAGCAGCCAGAGACGTGTGCTCAGCCCCCTCTTTGCCCCTCGGTATTACCCTAGTTCATCTTGTTGGGAGGGAGCCGTGCCGATTCCGCCGCGATGGAACTGGAGGAGGAGGGAGCTGTTGGGGCGAGCCGGGTCGCATCGCTGGTAGCTCTTTCTCTTTAGCCAGGCTGTTGCTGCTCTGGGATTTGCTTCTGAAAAGGTGTACCTCGTAGGGCATCCATCAGCAATGTCAGCAAACCTGCCCATGGGGATCGGGGGGCTGCACTGGCCCTTCAGGAAGAGCTCATTAGGACTTCTGTGTCTGTCTACGTGAACCAGAGCTTTTATTTCATCTGCTCCCCCTCACCTCCAAAATAAAAGCACTGTTGTTTTTTTAAGGTACAAGTTGAATAGCCCAGGGGAGTCACACCTCTAAACACGGAGCTCTACTGGCTTCTCTCCTAAAAGTTGCTCTAACTGAAGAGTTATTCCACCTCCTCCTCTGTTATGATGATCGTTCTGGAAGAGGATGGAAAACAGCAGGATTTTCTACGGTTGAATGAGAAAACTGACATAAGGCGGTGTGTACCAGAGCTAATCTATAATTCATCGTGATCATTCAAGGCTTTTAGAGAGCAGAGGGGAGAGAGGCAAGGGAGCCCTGACAAATGGTATAAAGACCCCGCACGTGGCTGTAGCCAGCGAGGGCTGTCACTTCTGATGAGCACGGGCAAGTGGTGCGGGGCCACCAGGGAGAGCTGGGCTCCCGCTACCTGCCGACGAGGAGGGGCTCGCATTCGCAGATGACTAGAAGCAGCTATGGTCCTGACGTCTCATTATTTCCAGCTTTGTTGCTTGCTTTCCGGTCACTGCTAATGTACCAGGCCCAAATTCCTTTGTGTGTTACTGCCTCGGGGGCTTCTGGCAGCTACTGCATGGGGGGGGGGGGGGGGGGGGGGAGGATGTCCAGTAGGGTTGAGTGCTTGCTGTTGACTGGTTAAGACCAGCAAAGCCAACTGCTAACCACCATCAGGGAGAGGAGAGCTCGCGCCCCAGTCTGATGGCGCTGCCTTTCTGCTGCTGGCAAAGTCAGGGATACGGCTGGATCGTCGAGGCCCGCCGCCAAGTTGTCAGCAAGAGAGTGATCAGCCCGAAAACAGCATTCCCGGCCGCCTCAGGTAGCTGGCATCGCGACAGCCCTGCCCAGCCTGACTCTAGGGGTGCTTGCGAAAGGCAGCGCCGCGCCAGCCAGGAGCCCTGGGCCGGCATTTTGTTGTAATGCAGAAAGCCGGGTGGTTTGGGGCTCCGTCTCCTCGCGGGGGAGAGAGGGCTTGCTTCTCAGGTCCGTTGTTCTGGCTCCGTAGGCGCGTTCCTAACTGTGTCTGTCGTGTCAGTCCTGCGCGGGCTCTCTGGATGCAGCCCCGTACAGCAGATAAGGAGGAATGGCAGCTCCGCAGAGGAGAGGGCTTGCCTGGACACCGCAGGGCTCTTGGCAGGGAGGCAGCTTCTCCATCACGCTGGGTATTGCATAGCTGTAGCTGCTCCCTTCCCGAATGAGGCAAACGCAGCCTGCGCCTCTCCGACAAGAGCCAGCGGAGCAAGGAGAGCCCTTGGCCCTCTGCTCAGCCCCGGGGAGGTCACACCTGGAAACTCTGTCCAGGTCAGGCCTCCCTCTCCCGTTCAAGGGGGTTGCTGGGGGAGGGTCTGGCTGGGGCTCCTGGGCTGGTCGGGGCTTTGGGCCGAGGGTCTGGGAGGAGAGTGGGGAGCTGGGACAGCTCGGTGTGGTGAAGAGGCGGCTGGGGGCATATCTGATCACAAGTACAGCGATACGAAGGGCAATTAGGAAGATGACGTGGTCAAACTCCTTTTGGCAGGCATGGCAGATGACATAACAGGGGAACGTGGGAAGTTTGGCTTGGATATTAGGGAAAAAAAGCTGGTGGGGAGGCGTCTCCATCCATGGAGATTTCAAACATCGCCCAGACAAGACCTGGCTGCTCAGATCTTTTACTGGCGACAGTTCTGTTGCAAGAGGGAGGTTGGATCAGAGACCTCCTGCGGCCCCTTTTACCCCCGCGCTCCTGCGGATCCGAGCCCCGGTTCCTCCGGTGCCACCGGGCTTGCTGTAAGAGCCCTCCTCCTTGTTTCTCACTGGCTTGCTTTCTGCTGCTTTGGTTTGCCAGCCTGTCCGGTGGCCTCGGTGCTACCCAGCAGTCCAGACAAAACCAGCCATGACTCTGAAAACCCATCAGCGCCTCTGTGGTTGGGACCTGTGTGCTGGGCTCCACCAGCCTCGTGGGTTGGACGTTGTGCAGAGTGCAAGCACAGCAGAGGAAAAGGATGGTTAAGGCAGGAGGTTGTTCTTCCATTAAGTTAATTTTTTGACTATACCTGCACTTCTGGGCTTACATCCAAGGCCTGAAGTACTTGCACGATTTCCTCCTGCCTCCATCAGTTATGTTGTATTCTCTATTCCCTCCTGAGCTGGTTATTAATTATGGAGACTGCAGAGATGAAATCCAGACTCTGCTAATGGTTGACTTCCCTGTGTTTTACAAGAAGTGTTTCAGGGATCTGCTAATGGTATTTCTTAGCTTTGCTTTCTAAGCTCCACCATCATCTTGGTTTCTCGCCTGAGCGTGGCAGCGAGGCAGATGAGGGTGTTGAAATGTTGGCTGAAGCCCGGCTCTCCGGTGCCGGGGCAAACTGCAGGCTTTTGGGTGCGCCGTGCAACCCTGCTGTGTGCAGTTACCCCTGTCCTTCCCGGGGCGGCGGGATGCCCGAGGCTCTAGCTGCGGGATTTCCCGGGCGCGCGGAGCCTTTCCGTGCCGGCGGGGAGCACAGAGCGGCCTTGCCTGGCAGCATGCGGGCCGTGCAGTCACCCTTGCCGGCTGTCCCCTCTCGATTTCCCCAAGCTTCGAGAACCGGGGAGCAAATCCACGGTGAGCACTGACCCCGGTGCTCCTCACGAAGCCACCTCTTTGCTCTTTGCCGCCGGTTTCCCTCCCAACCTGTGTCCCAGCCTCTAAAGCGGCCTGGCCAAACCCCAGTGCTATCTCATCTTTCCTCTCCCAGCCTTATTATTCCTCCCCCTCCCTCCCAAGGCGGCTGGCGGGTTCTGAGCTCACTCTTCCTCCCTATCCCAGCCGGCCTCGGCGCCGGCTCTGTCTGCCCTTTGCTCTCCCTGCCCATCTCCATCCCTGCCACTGCTACGGGCCGCTTGCCCCTCTCCCCCCCCTCCCCGCCCCGGGCAATATTCTGGGAGATACAGCTCTCCTTCTCCTGTCTTATTCCCGTTCCTCCGCTGCTTGGTCGTGTCCATCTGATGTGGGGAGTTAGCGCGATGTTTTTCTCTGCAGACCCTGCCGGCCTGTTCCCGGCCGTCGCCGAGCGGCCTCGGGGGCGCAGGGGTGCGTAGGAAGGGGCCACTCGCATTCCCCCCCCCTCCCCTCGGCGTTAGGGAGGGCGGGGAGAGAAAGGGCTTGGGAAAGGGAAAACAATGAGAGTGCAAGATTTACTCATTTTGGTTTTTCCAGCTCTGCCTGTTCACAACCTCCTGGGATTTATCCCTGGTGTCGGATGCCAGCGCTGGCCTGGGAGTCCCTGGTCCCGTTTTGCAATCTTCCAGTGTCAGCCAGCAGCTCGGGCCTTCCTGTAAGCGCCCCGACGGTCACGGGGAAGGATTGCTCCCCCGGCCGCGTGGGGAAAGGTCACCACGGGCAAAGGGGACGCTGGGGCCGGGCGGGCGGCTTGCCGCTACCTCCCCTCGCCGACCAGGGCGATGCCGATCAGCGCAGAGCCCGAAACGTCTTAAAAAAGAAAACAAGACACTAAAAAACGTTTCGAGAGGTTACATGTTTTCAGCAAGGCCCCGCTTCCTTTCGCAGGGCAGATCTCGGAGCAGATGCTGTGCCCGGGCAGAGTCCCGGAGGACGAGCGTGTGCGTGTTTCGTCGCTTTTTTCGCTGGAGGATGTTTGTTGCTGAATCCGCTCCCGAAAGCATCTGCGTGTCTTGCTAAAGCGGGGCCGGGGGTGTGGGCCAGTTACCGCCGCGCTGAGTAGCAGCTGGGCTGAGCGATACGTTCTCGCAGCTTGTCCCTCTCTTCCCTTCCTACCCCAGGGCCTGCCAACAAACCTCTCCCCTGAATGCAACTCCCAAAGAAAGCTGAAAGAAAGCTGTGACTTGCGGTGGCGGGGGACAGGATTAGCATCCCACATTAAGGGCTTCACTCCCCGGCTCGTCCCTGCCGGCCCCGGGGTTTCGAATGACACCGCCATGGCCTTTTTCTTTCACCCTCAACACTTTGCAGCCTGTTTTAATAATGGCTTTTGCGTACTGTTCTCCGGGCTGTGTTTGCTAAGCTGGAGCTTGCTCCTGGTACTTTGTTTTCCAAGTCTGGCCTGTTGGCTGAGGCTCCTGGGGATGCGGGTCACATTTATTGGGGCGGGGGTGGAGCGGGAGAAGAAGGAGGAATTTCTAGGTTGGGCTTACGAACCGAGTTTTTTAAAAATTCTCAGTGTGTTTTAAAAAAAAAAAAAAAAAAAAAAAATCTGGCCCTTCGTCTCTAGGTTACGTTTGCCTCTGCTGTGGCTGAGCTCATGGAAAACTGCAGCTTAGCTCCTGTGCTCGGTGCCAAGATTAGTAGGTTTAAAAACTAACTGATAACATCTTTGTAAACTTGAAGATATTTCTTTAAAGCCTGCTGATCCTTCCAGCCTGGATTTTGGAGCTTTCCTAGAGAACCAAGCGGGATGATGGTATCAGCCCTGAAAAATCACCGTGTCCCTCAGGAGCCTTGCCTTCAAACACCCCGAGGGAGGAAGGAGGCTGCTGTTCCCCAGGCCCCAAAGGGTGCGTTGGGATCCTTCTCCCTGTTCCTAAGCAGGTACACAGCCCACAGCGACGCTCTGCGCGTAACTTACAATAATCACTGGTTTTATTTTTAAAAAATTACAATAGAAAAGTACCTTTAAACATATTTCCAAAAGCGGAGTAGACAATGTGGAAGCTTCTCTCCTCTCCACAAGACAAAGTACAGGAAATAGTTTGCTAAAAGAGTTAGTCCGTCGCTTGGAAACGCTGGTATCGTTCCTTGTAGAGCCGCTCAGAGGTTTGTCTTGGAATTGATTTCTTCTCCCGTCGCCTTTTGTTAATCCCACTTTTTACAGAAGACTCCAATGGGACAGTTTCCCATCGCACCATCTCCCCCCCCCCGCCCCGGCTCCAGCAGCCGAAATCTCAGCCGTCTTATTTTGGCCCAGCCACAGAATAAAAGGAAGGAGGAAGAAGAAGGTGACGGTGTTTACCAAGGCCACGGGCACCCTGTGCCTTCGGTGCAGCTGGGAAACCGGCCGAGGCACAGGCAGCGGGGACGGGGTGCGGGGGGAGAGGCAGGGAAAGGAGAAGTTTTGCAAGAAACCAAACTCAGTTAGAGGCTTTGGTTTGCTTTGCTCTTTCTTCTTCCAAATTCCTGCTGGAGCAAGGAGAAGGAGAGGCTAGTATGTCAAGCGGTCTCTTTGCTGGTACGCTATCTCTGTAAAGGCTACGGTTACTGCCCCAGGGGTGTTAGCAGCCTCCCTTCTTGTCTTTGCACGTGGGAACCTGGAAATGCTACACAGCCAGCCGCCGGACCGGCACAACCTTGACGCTAAAACCCCAGTTCAGCCCAGCGCTTTGGCGTAACGGCAGGCACGTGTCCAAGCCCCTCGGCTCGCTCGGGCCTCGCGCCCGACCTCAAGTAAGCTGGCGAACCGAGGGGTTTGCTGTTGGTTTTTTGTTTGGTCGGTTTGGTTTTTTTTGTTCTCATACAGCAGTTTACGTTGCCCGTGACAACTTCAAGCAGTCGTGGCAGGAGGAGGAGGGGGAGCAGGAGGAGCAGGAGGAGGAGGAGGCAAATTGTCACCTTTGCTACATGTGCGGGCTGTCTCTGCCCATCCCTGATCCGAGCCGTTGTACCATGCCGAAAGCTTTGCACAGCAAGCTAGTAACATAGCCCTAAGGTAAAAAAAAATCACCGTAAGAAAGTTTCTGATTGTCCTGCCTGGTTGTCATTTGGTACAACTGGGAAGAAAACGGTAATACTGTAAGTGTCCACAGAGGTCTCGCCGACACAGCCGGAGCACAGTCCCTACGAACCCGAATCGTGCGTCTCAACATCTGCACACACAGGAACCTCGTGCCTTCGACATGCAGCTGACGGGGCAGGGGGGATGGAGGCTCTTAATTACACGCATTCAAAAGTCAAGCACAAAACCTGTGGTCCGACCCAGTGTAAGATTGTCCTATTTAGGAGGTTTGGTACAAAAATACTCGCTGTCATTTTGCTTTTTTCGCCGTCTGCTTTCCTATGGTTCTGTTTGAAAAGACTTTTCAAACGCTACAGCAATGCCTGTCAAACCATGCTTTCAGAAGTAACACACTCTTTCTTACAAATATACAGTGTAAAAGAGGAAAATATTATTACTAGGTATGCTTTTCGTTTTTCTTCTAGGAGAGCAGATGTGTGATAGAGGCTGTGGGAAAGTCTTGGAGGAATCCAAACTTGTGTGAGGTTTTGGTTTTGGTTTGTTTTTTTTTTTTTTTTTTCAAGCCTGTAACGACAGAGAGAGGTGTTAAAAAAACCCCAAAAGTCAGCCACGCTCTTGGGCTTAGGCAAAATGGAAAAAAAGGACTGTGGTTAATCTCTCTGCCTCCGTGGGGAAGCTCCCGTGCCGCAGCGTGGGGGAGAGGGAGGCTTGTTTTGGAAACGGGGGGAGGAAGGGAAAGCAGCCCGTGCTGGGACCCCGCTCCAAGGACAGTTGTTTAACTGGGAAAGGGCAAGGTGGGAGATGCCTGTGGGGAGAGCCGGGGCCCCCGGGTCCGGCCGGGCAGAGGGGAAGGACCCCACTGGCCCCAGTTTGCTCCTCCCGCTGGCTGTAACCCCTGGGGTTTTAACTTGAGGAGGCACTGGCTGGGAAACTGAGAGTTAAATCCGCGCTGAATTTTGCACTTAAGGAGGAATTCAGTCTCTGTTGATCCAAGGCAGGAAGCGAGGACGGCGGCGGGCGAGATGAGATTACCGGGGAGGGGGTAATTCAAAGCCGAGAGGCATTCCTCCTCTCGCCCCAGATAACAGCGATAACCGCGGGAACGGCGCTGCGGGTGCCGTAACACCAGCGCTGCCGCCCCGCCGGGATCCACCCCAGGGACGCGCCCGCCTCGCTGCCCCTCTCCTCGGGGACCTGGCCTTGGCTTCCTCGCCCCTCTACCCTCCCTGGCCGAAGCAGCAGAACCCCGGGGGCCGCATCCCCCCGCGCCGTGCTGCAGCCTTACCAGCACACTGTGGTTTTGCGGAGAGCACGCCAACCCAGTAGCCGCCTTGGAAGACTCCGTTCATACCCACAAGACTGACTGTAGGCCACCATCACACACCTGAGACCTGCGGGAGGGCACAGCGGAGGGTTAGGGGCGCGGGCAGCCAGGGAGCGAGGTCTTTCTGTGCCGAGGGGAGAGGTTATTTGGCGGTGGCCGGGCTCGGCGCTTCCTAAGGGGGGGTAGTTTGCAGTTTAACCCTGCCCTGATGGGCCCCGTGCGGCAAAACCGGGGAGGATGTGCGGGCGAGGGAGCCCAGGTGGTAGCAAAACTCTGCGCTGGGCTGTTGCCGTAGCCCTTCCCGACTGGATGGAGGAGGCTGGCGGGGAGCCGGGAGGTCCCCGGCCCCCCCCATCCTCGCCCCCCCGTTGTGGCTGCCGGGGTTGCTGCGGGCAGGTGGGGGATTCACCCACCTCCCCTTCCCAAACACCGCTCCGCTTACATTTTAGCAGGAGACATTGGCACGTCCCGTATTCTGGAAGAACCACTGGTTTCCCAAAGCCTCGCCACTCCCTGTTTTTATCTACTGGGCTTAAAATAGCCGGGAAATGCTTTGCGGATCCAAGTCTGGAGTCGGCTGCAGCCAGGGCTGGTCCTCCTGCCCTCCCCGGGGTGAGCGAGCCTCGTGGCAACGGCGCGGGGCTGTGGGGGCACGGGCAGCCGATGCCGGAGCCTCGCCACCTCCTTGGATCCACTGGGGTTTCTCCACGGGTGGGTGCGGATGTGGCATGGGAGGTTTTTCCCGGCTGGGATCACGAAGCGAGCGATGCTCAGCATCAGCCCAACCTCCTTCCCCTCTTCCATTTGAATCCCCTTTGTTTATTCATCCACGAGAAGCCGAGTTATTTGCAGAGCGTATCTTGCAAGGCTTTTTTCCATCCCAAGAGGTCCCGGGTGTCACCAAACCAGGCGCTTGATAAGGCCGTGCTTCTCGTTTTGGCAGCCCCGCCACCCCGGGGCTGCCAGGAGAGTTTTCATTAAGGTTTAATGAGATGTTTGCGTCGCACTGGGAGGCGGGAGGTCGCTTTCATTCGCTGGACCGTGCCACCGCTGCACCCCCCCCTACCCCCCCCGCAGCGGGCACGCAGCCTCCGCTGCCGCAACAGCACGGACCTGCCTTTCCATCCTGCCCTGGGATATTTGGGAGGAAGCGTTGGGGTGGACAGTGGCAGAGCCGTCCCCTTCCTAAGGGCAAGGAGGGCCTGCCGGAAAGTGGCCTCGCCAGCGCGGGCGTAGGGTCTGGCTCCCCACCCCGAGCTGCTGCAGCCCCCGAGGGTTGCGGCGGGGTGGGGGGGGGAGTTGAGGGTAGGGGCGGAGGTGACCCCCAGCCCACCACCCTGGCGCAGGACAGGAGCGGGGAGGCGGCACTCACCCGGCATTCAGCAGAACTGACGGGACTTCCAGCCCTGAGAACCAGCCTCGGAGGGAGGGAGCCAGCGCATCTGCGAAGACAAGAGGGGTGCGGGGTGAGGAGGGGGGGGGGGGGGCTGTGGTCGCCCACCCTGGCAAGAGCCGGCTGCCTCCGGGCTCCCCTTTCCCGGCCACCCCCCAAGCACAGCGGTGGGTGGAGGGCAGTCGAAATGCAAACTGCAGCCCTCCCAGCTCCGGCACGGACAGGAACGCTGGCTGGGGCTGAGCTGGGGCGGCAGCACCGCGGTCTCACCGAGCAGGGGGTGGGCTCAGCCCCTCTTAACACCTACAAAACCTTCATGAGACCAGGTCGGGGGGGGGGGGGGGGGGGGGGGGGGGCGGGGTGTGCAGAAAACATCAGGCGCCAAAACCCGGCGGCTCTCGCCGTGGTCGCTCTGCCGCGTAACGCCACGTCGGCCCCGCCGCCCTGAGCTTCCCCAGCTCACCGCAGGACCCGGGTGGGGAGGCCACCCCGCAGCCAGCAGCCCCGGTTTGGGTGGGGGCACCCCTCCCCAACACCCCCCCCCCAACCCCCAGCACTGGGGGGGGGGGGGTGGGTGGGCTGCGGCTGCGGGAGCGATGCTGGCTTCACCACAGCACCCCGGGGCGATGGGGAAGGTGCCACCACCATCCTCCCCACCACAGCAGGGAATATTTCTCCTAACAGCGTCTAACATCAGGTCTCGGCCTGGGCTTTCCCCAGGGGGGGCCTCGGAGCCTCCTTACACCTCCGTTTCCTTCGCTGGCCGCTTCCCCGGCCTCCCCAGCAGCCCAGGTGCTGCCTGTTAGTGGTCATTTGACAAGGCAAGTATGTAGCTGCAATAATATTTACCGCCGCTCTTCCTATAATCAGCAGGGCCCGAAAAGCTGGAGTTTCATCCAACGGCTGCGGCTGGTTTGTACGCCAAACGCTTTTCCTCGCCCTCCCACTCAAACCAGCCCCCGGCTGCCTCCGGCTCCCAGCGATGGCGGCTCCGGATAACCCGGCTCAATCCCGGCGGGCCGGGGCCAAAAGCCTTTCGGATGCGGCTTATCCGACAAATCTGTTTCCGTGTGCTCGTTTCCTCCTGCTCGCTGCCAAGCAGGAGCCGGCAGTGAGGAGCGAAAGCCGGGATGATGTCCGGCACGGCACGGCTGCTGGGGACGCAGCTGCCCATTCCTCCCCTCCCAGCATCTGTCTCTTCCCGGTATCCCCACGATGCTGCTTTGGGAAACATCCTGAAGGCTGGCACTGCAAAGAAATCCTCCGCCACCTCTGTTTCCATTTCTCCTTTTCCCCGCTCCTCTCCGGGGGGTGGGTGGTTAATTTTTAACAGCCACAAGCTGCCGTCAGGGGCCACAGAGCCAGCAGGAAAGCGCTTGCGACGGGAGGCCGCCTCGTCAATAAAAGATGGGCTCCTCCATCTGCGCTGCGCTTGCCTTCTCCTCCCCGTCCAGGGTCGCGTCGCTTCACGCCTCGCGGCCGGTGAGCCGCATCCCAGTGACGCTCGAGGGGCAGCTGGGGGCTCGGGACAGCCCCCCCCCCCCCCCCAAATTTTGCACCACGCCGGCAGCTGGACGGGTCGTTCGGTGCCGGGAGCGATGGGGACGGTGCGGCCCCGGCGAGCATCCCCCATCCCTCCCTCCCTCCCCGCCTGCCCCTGGCGCGGGTGAGAGCGAAGGTAGGAAGGCAGAGAGAGGTGTTTTGGGGAGAGGCCCGCTGCCAGCGCTCAGCTCCGTTTGGGTGCCATCCCTAAAATCTCAGGGGGGGTGGAGTGGGGGGGGGTCAGGGAGTGCCTGTTAGCTGGGCAGAGGTTAGCGGTGCGGCGAGCACCAAGGGGAAGGGTTGGGGGTCCGGGGCAGGTGAGCGCAGTGATGGTGGGATGGGTCTGAATTACCTGGGCGTGCAGCGAAGCGGGGTAGGTGAAAGCAGGAGGAGGTAGAGCAGGTGCTAACTCCGCTGGGTACAGAGGGTAGGGCCCCCACACTTCAGGGCTACCGGGGTAAAGTGCAGGCACTGTGAGCTCATCTGCAAGAAAAAAAGAAGGAGAGTTATTGGCAACCGAGGGGCTGCGGCCCACGCCACGCGCCGCTCAACAGCACCCCCCGGTCCTTCCTCCTCCCCCCCGAAGCGGGCGCGGAGCTTCCCCCGGGAACATGCCAGGGCTCAGCCAGCCGTCAGCGACGCCGCGGGGCTGGGCTCCTCGTCTCCGAGAGGTTTAATCGCGGCGGGGATCCGGCGGCGGTGGGGCACGAAGGAGAGCGGAGCGCCTCGTGCCCGGTGCGCAGCGGCGAGGCGAGGAACCGGCGTCCGCGCGAGAAACGCTCCTCCGGCAGCGGAAACGGGGACGGCGCGACATTGCCGAGGTCTCCGCCGGGACCCCCAGCCACCTTTGGGGAAACCCCCCCTCCCTGCCCACCCACCCCCCCCCCCCCCCCTGGCCACAGCGCTTGCAGCAAGCGGGTGCTGCTGCTTCCAATTAGACCTGGCGTTCCCCATCACCGCCGGCTCCCTCCAGCATCCTGTGCCGGGCGCCCGGCATCGCTACATCCACCCGACACCGAATCGCCTGAATAAGGCGTTTTTCCCAAGGTAAAGGAAGGTGGGGGCAACCCCCAGCGTCTGCCACCCCAAAACCTGATGGCACTGCCGTGGGGGCAGGTCGAGGGGGACCGCGTGGGGTTCCCCGGGGGGAGCCAGGGCCGGTACTTACAGGGCTCCCGGGCGATGAACTGAGGTACGGCGGTGGGGAGAGGCGTGCTGGGGTTGGGGGTGCCCACCAGCTTGCTCTTGGCCATCTTGGTGTTCGCCTTGGCGAACTCCAGCCGCAGCGTCTGGGGGATCTCGGGGTCGAAGCGGATGCCCTGCGGGAGGGAAGGAGGTGCGGCGGGTGGGCGAGCACCGCCGCGTGCCAGCCCCGCAGCAAAAATAACTCCCAAGTTTTTTGGTTTGGTTGGGTTTTGGTTTGTTGTTTTTTTGTTTTTTTTTTTTTTTTTCTCAACTTCCAGCCTTGAAATGAGCTAATTTGCCGGGCCCCGAGGTGGCTTGCATTCCTCCGGCATCTTTAGCATAGGCACCATATTTGGCAGTCAGCAGCCCGCATGGCCGAGCACTTATCCAGAGGGATTAGTGGAGCCAAAAAAAGAAGTTTTACATTGAAAATGAAGACAAAGGGGGGAAAAAAAAAACAAAACAAAACAACATTAAAAAAAAAAAAAAAAACAACAACAAAAAAAACCAACAACAAAACAAAAAAAAACAACAACAACAACAAAAAAAAAAAGGTCCACACGGTTCTCCCCGTGACTGTTTTCAGGAGGTTAACTCTGCAGAGGTAGGAGGGAGCTTCTAAAGGAAAAAGCTGCTTTTTCTTTTGCAGCTTTAGCTGGGATTTTTCCCCCTGAAGAAAAGAGGCTGGGAAAGGCATCTCTCGCTGACTCTAAGGATCTGATCCCGAGGGTTCAGGGATGGCCCTGGGAAAGGTGAGAGGGATGCAGCCCCCTGGGAGGGAGGATGCAGATGGAGGGATGGGGATGTGGCAGGACCAGCCAGTGTGAGGGATGCACGTCCCCGAGATGGAGGAACTTGGCGAGTATCCGGGGAAACAAGGGGAAAAAAATCCCCCAAAAAAACAGAGAGGCTGGGCACACTCACGTTCAGCGCGTTCTTCGCTGCCTCCGCCTCGGAGCGGCTGTCGAAGCTGACGAAGCCCACAGGCTGTGGAGGAAAGAGAGGAGGCACCATCAGTCAGGCTGGCGGGGAGCAGAGCGGGGACGGGGACCCCCCTCCGGCCCTGGGAAGGAGGGAGCAGGGCGTGGGATGCTTGGCCCGTTTTGAGCAGCTCCTACCTGCTTGGAAGTGAGTTTGATGAGAGACCCTTCGTACCCCTGCAAGAAAAGAATAAAGAAGGGTGTCTGGTGGAGATCCCCTGCCCCATGGCGAGGGAAGCGTCCCGCGTCCGTCACCCAGCAGCCCTGCAGCTTGGGGGCATCGGGCGGGCGCGGGGGGAGCTTGCCAAGGGATGCTGAGTGCCTGATAAGATTATTCTTCATGTTTGAAAGGAGCCGGTGTCTGAGCTGCAGGCCAGGCAGGGTGAAGGGAGTGGAGAGGTTTGCAACCAGCACTCTCCTGCTGCTAAACGGGGTGCAAGCCAACGTGCAGTTAAAACCCTGCTGCAATCAAAGCACCCGATGCCATTTTCCTATGGTTTATTGGGGAAAAAAGGAACAGAAGCTTGTTTCTGTGAAGCAAATTAGAATTCGGGGGGGGAAACCAGCTGGTTCCCAGTTCCCACCAAGGTTGGTGAGGCCATGGGGATGGGGCAGGGGGCCGGCCCCGTGCTTCCAGCCCCCCTCTCCCGTCCCCAGTCTGGTACCTTAAAGGGCCTGAAGAGCAGGTAAAGTTCCCGGGGCTTGATATCCAGAGGCAACCCGCTGACAAAGAGCGTCCTCACCTAGAAAAGAAGAAAGAAGGTTCCTGGGGACCCTCCCTCATCCCTAATTTGGGGATACCCCACACCTCCTGCAGCCTTAGTTGGCAGCACGCCGGAGGGACGATGCCAGCCCAAGGGAAACCCCTTGGGCAGCCAAATGCCTTAATCCACACTTGGGGGATGCGGCGTTTGGGTTTGGGATTTTTTTTTGGGGGGGGGGGGGCGGTCCCCACCTTTTGGGTGATCGCAGAGCAAGCTGTTATGACACTGTGGAAAGGTAATCCTCACCTCTCCGGGTGGAAAAGGCTGCAGCATCCCAGTGCCTTCCTACCCAGGTTTGGCAAACAGGATCTCTCCTAGCATCCCCAGCAGAGCCCTTACTCTGCTGGCAACGCCTATTGTCTCTGTTTAATTGCAGCAGCTCATTAAGGACCGGGAGAAGCAAACCCCAACTCTTCCTCCTGGAGGAACGGCCCTGTTTTGGAAGAGGCTGGTTTTAAGCAGCCTGTCCTCGATTTATAAAAGTCACCTTTTAAGGGGTTTTCACTCTTTTTGGATGGATCTAATGTTTGCCGTGGCGCAGCACGGGGTGGCTCGCAGCAGCCCTCCTTCCACCGACCCTGAGGGGGGGGGCGGATATGGGGCTCCTCGGGGATGGACAAACCCCACCTGGGCAAAACCCATGCCGGGGCAGTTTTGCTTTACAACCAGCTTGTAACTGGAGGAGCGGTGCGGGGCAGGAGACCAACAGCTGGATCTACGGCCGGTGCCCCTCTCCTCATCCCCCAAATCTCACCCAAACACTTTGGTGACTGACGGCCAGGGCCCCGCAGGAGCCTGGGGCTGACCAAGGTCCCAGCTGGCCCCACCTGGGCACCTTCACCCATGCACCCTGCCCACAGCCCCGGGGCTGTATTTAGGCTCAGACTTTGCTGCAGGAGGAGCTGCCGGCTTAGTCTCAGCCCTGCGGAGTCCCGTGGGTGAGTCTGACCCTGGCTGCCATCACCCACCAGCTCTGCTCTTGCTGGGGCACCCAGGGATGGTGCCTGTGTCAGTGGGGTCCCTGCCTTGCCGTCCCCCCTCAGCTCCCGGCTTGTCTGTGAGCCAGCCCTGCTCCTGTAGCATCTAACTAGGAGGTAATCTGGGGGATTTGGTGGCTCTAGTTTATTTTTTCAGGCGCCTAAATGCCTTGTGAGAGCTTGTCCTGAGGGGCCAGACCAAGGTCACCCACCCTGGGTGCCAAGCTGCCAGATTGGGGCAGGAGGAGGAGGGGAAGACCTTGATTTATTTATTTTTTTTAATTTATTTCATTTTTTGGCCAGGCACCCTGCCTGCCCCATTTCCTGGGACGGAGACATGTGAAACAGCCAGAAACAGCCAGCCCAGGCCTATTCTTCTGCTGACATTTCTTCTTTCTCTTGCAGATAAGTTATCTACCCCATCTCCCAGCCTGGGAGCAGCAAACATTCCTGCTTTGTGTAACAAAACCTCTGGCTGACCTATATCTATTAAATAACAAAAGGTACTCCAGGCCGTTTGCATATAGCCCTTGTGTCAACAGCCCCAAGTGATACCCATCGCTGCTGGCACCCATCGCTGGGTGCATGGGGGCTGCCAAAAAACAAGCTAGCCGTGAAAGTATGGTTCCTCTTGGGAAGCAAGCCCTGCTCCGGCCAGGAGAGGATGCTCCGGGCCTTGCCCAGAGGGATGCTGAGAGCTCCAGCCTGGATGGGATCAGCCCCGGCACGTCCTCGCCCCTTCCTGAGCCAGGCCTGTGCTAGCCCGTCCACTCTGCTGGGACCATTCACCGTGAGCTGGGAGCCCCCCCCCCACGGCGCTTTGGGGGGCCCCCGCCAGCTTCCTGCCTATCTTCTGAGATCAGAGGGTGACGGAGCATCCCAAGGCGTTCAGTGCTGTACCATCTCCCGATGGAAACGCTGCCCGGATTTCTCCCAGCAGGCTCCTTCATCCAGAGGAGCTTCCCCTGTGTCCATGAAATTCAATGTAAAGAAGGCAAATTTATCCTTTCCTAGGGGGGAGAAAAAAAAAATTCTCCTTCAGACAAGTCTGCCTGAGCACGGCTAACATCCAGGGAATCAGCTCGCCGGAGCCCAGCTGGGTTTGCCTCCCGAGGAGGCTGAGCATCCCTGCGTGGTGTGTCCCCCCACCCACCCCCCAGCTCCATCATCCCTCGAGCCTCCGGTCCTCCCCGCACACTGGCCTCCCACCTCTCCTCCCCCGGGAGCCGCCCGAAGCGCCAGAGGTGTCGGAGACGGCTCCAGGGGAGAACCCGCCGCCAATTTGCCGCGTCCCTGAAATCCAAACCTCTCCGAGCCGGGCTTGCCAGATCATTTAGCCCCGCAGCCACGCAGCAGAGAGATGGGAGAGATAAAAGACCCTGAAAAACCCTCCGAAAAAATCAGCCTCAAATTCGGCCTCGCAAAGGAAGGGCTTCTCTTCGGTAATGACTTGTTTTCTTTGGAAGTTCAAACACAGGTCGGCCAAGTTTTAAACCATAAAATTACACAGCGGTGAGAAGGAGAAGGAGAAGAGCTCCAAAGGATCCCCCAGCTGGTTTCCAGCCCCAAAAGGATGTTTGGAAGCTGGGAGGGAGGAGACATGAAGTCATGGGTGCTCCCCATCTGCGCCCCGCAAAGGGGCGCCGGGGGGCTTGTGTATCCAGCCAAAAGGAAGGTTTGAGTAGGTCCTACCTAAACAGCATCCTTTCGCTGGGCTGGGTAACAAGCAGGTGGGAGGATTTGAGCTGTATTAAAATGAGGTGGGACTGGCAGAGAAAGGGAGAGTCCTCGGGGATAATTCCCAGCAGGCCGGACACATATCCTTTTGCCAAGGGAAAGATTTTAGGCGGAAATATTACTCCTTCCCTTAAATGGAAGAGGAGCTGCAGCTCGCAGGGAGCTGCTCCAGGCTTTCCTGTGCCGAGAGATCCCAGGGGTTCAGCCTCTATGCTCTACCAGGAACGCTCCCAGGGCAAAATCCTGCCCTTGAGGGGGTTAAAAAAAAAAACAAACAAAACACCTTATCAGAGAAATTTCCAGCCAGCAGGCAGGTATATGCTCTTCCATAGGGAAAAATGATCCCTTCTCGGAGGTGGATTGGGCAAGACTCCCAAATGCTCGCGAGACGGGGGCCAGACCTACAGCTCCTGAGAGGTGCTCGGGCATGGCGGTGGGATCCCTGCAGCCCAAAGGCCCCGGGTTTAGGGCAGCCCGAGATGTTTCATTTCAATTCTGCTGCGCAGACATTTTTTCCAGAGTTTCTTCCTGGAGGAGCATTTCTCCATCTCTCCTCCTTTTTACAATGCGGGGTGAAACCCGAAGTTTCTTCCAGGTCAGAAGCGCCGATGTTTGCTCCGTGAAGCCGCTGGCCGTGGGACCTCGCAGGTGACCACCACCTTGATTTCCTTCGGCGGGTATGATGGCTACGGGACCACACCGGGAGCACGCAGAGTCCCCTTGCCACAGTCCTCCCCTGCTCCTGCCGCGGTACCCCACAGCTCCCAGATTTGCCAGGGCCTCCTGGATCCCACCTCTGCCACCTTGCTCCTGGCTTGTCCCCGCCTGGCTTTTATTGTCCCCGCAGAAAGTCTTCTCTTAGGCTCTGCTACTCTCCTCTCCCTAGGAAGCCTTGTCCATCCTGCTTCTGGCCCGTCCCTCTCACTCCTTGCTCCTCTGCATCCCACCATCACCTCCTGCTGTCCCCAAAATACCACGTTCCGTCTGGGGCCAGTTTAAGGGATGCTGGAGAGGGTCTGGGGGGGGCTGTTGCTGGGACGGTTGGGACTGGGGACACATTTGGGGACCTGGGCCAAGAGGTGGTTGGGGTCTCCAGACCACGGCTCAAGAATGGCCCCAGCACGAGGAGATCCATGGCAGAGTGTCGGCAGCCCTCCTCCTCCTCCTCCTCCTCCTCCTCCTCCTCCTCCTCCTCCTCCTCCTCCTCCTCCTCCTCCTCCTCCTCCTCCTCCTCCTCTTCCTCACATGAAGCCACAAGCCAGGTTTGTCTCCTGATGGTAAGCGGGAGCCAGGGAGGCATTTGCCTGCCTTGGACCCCCAGTTGGATGCCGGGCACCCTGCCGGCACCGTCACGCTCCCCTGCCCCTGCCCAAACCACCCCCCTGGTAATCGTTAACAGGCCGGGGAGGGGGGGGCCGGAGGGGAGAGGCGGAAGGCGTCCGGGTGATTCATTCACGAGGCATTTAATCGCCTCCTTCAACCCCAGCCCCCCCGCTCTGTCCGCCACCTTTCAGCGGGGGGCTGGCTTTTAATTCTCCACCAGCCGATTAGCCGCTCGACTGCCCGCCGCCGGGGAGGCCCCGCCGGGCAGCCGGACCCCGATCGAGCCGTCAAACGGAGCAAGAGGAGCTTTCCCTCCCCGCCAAAGTGGGGGTGCTGCCTCCCCCGCAGAGGGATTAGCCCTTGCGTAAATAGTCTCTCCACTCACGGAGCATCCTCCTCAGCTGGGTTTAGATTCCCGGGCTGTGTGTATCAACCCGCAAATCTCCCCCACATAAACAAGGCTGAGGTTGAGGGATGCTGGTTCCTCCACCCCCCCACCCGCCCAGGGGATGCGGGAGGGACCGGGCTCAGCCTCTGGCCTCGCCACCCGTAGCCGTTTCTCCAAACCAGTAGCCAAACGTCCGGCAGAGGATGGGAGGAGAGGAGCGGCCCACAGGAAAGAGCGAGTCCGGAGCTGCCGGGGCTGGAACGAGGAAGCGGTGGAGGAAAAGCCAGTGAGAAGCCAAGAGAGCAGATGGGGGATTGCAACAGAGCGGAGGAGCGGCCCGCACGGGTGGGGGTCACGTCCCGCCCAGGGCTTGCTCCCAAACCCTCCGGACCCCACGCTTAAAGGAGGAAAGGAAGCAGGAGCACGGAGGTGGGGAATGCGGCGCAGGGGCCACCAAAGCTTATCCACTTACTGGGCACCTTCCCCCCTGCCCCACTCCAGAAACCATCCCTGGGGTTCCCTCCCCACATCCCGGTCCCTCGGGATGAGGGATCTGGCATGGGATGGGGACAAGGGCCACGAGCCGGGCTCCCCGGAGCCGCTCTGCTACCAAATAAGGCCTCCGTCGAGCTTTTTACATGCCGGTCTCCCACGGCCGAAGTGACGTGACCTCCTCTCCAAACTGTTCTTCCTCCCCCCCGCCTCCGCCCAGACTCCTCTGTGGGGGACCCCCTGGCCCACAGCTCCCCTTCCCCCAGAGGGGTCCCTCCTGGGGGAGGCAAGAAGGGTGGGAAGGCCACCCGTGGGTGCCAGGAGCAGGCAGTGGGACTCCTGCCAGCCCGGGGGGGAGCAGGGGCTCGTCCCACCTGGCAGCACCCTGACTGACCTCCCCAGGATGGGGCCCCATTTCTCCCTATTTTTTGGGGGGGGGGGGGGGGGGAACGATGCTGGAAGGCGAGCCCCGGGGAGGGGAGAGGTAGGGTGCAGCAGCTGGGCAACCCCCTTTCCCTGCTCTTCGGCCAATACTCGACAGCACCGGCTCTTCCAGCCGTGGCTGGGAAAAACGCACGCGGGGAAAATACCTGCCTGGCACCGGGGGAACCCGGCTCGCCAGCACGAGTGGCCATCACCCTCTTAACACGTCCCCCGGCGTGGCGGGGGCCCCCGGCACCTCGCAGCCGTCCCCTCTGGGGTCTCCTCGGGTTCAGCATCCCCCTCCCCGGGCAGAGCTGCACGGCGAGGTCAGGGGGTCCCCAAGTGCGGTGGCCGGCCCCTCGCCCCCCCCGGATTCATCGGGGAGCAGGGCGGGAGGGCCACCCTTCGCCAGGGTGGCATGTGCCACACCACTGGGATGGGCAACACGATGTGCCCGTCCGAGCCATGTCACCCCCCCCACACCCCCCGAGGACCGGGCACCGTCGCCTGCCCCGCACCCGATGAGGCCGCCGGCGGGAAAAATTCCCCATTCTTGGAGCGCTTTGGGAAAACTTTGGGAAGTTTTTAGGCCGGAACCGCCTCTGGAATAAAAAACCGAAGGTAGGTGACAGCAGGCGAGCGGGGCTGCGGTGCATCCCGGTGTTGTCTAATCAACCCCAGACCCCACCGAGAAGCCGCGGGGGGGACGTGACGGAGCAGCCCGGCGGGTGAAAGGCGAGGAGGAGATCCTATCTACCTGCTCTCACCCTCCCAAAGTCCAAATTCCCAGCTCAAGGTCACGGGCAAAACCAGGAACTTGGCGGTTGCAATGGAGAGAAAGAGCTCTCGTCCCCGCGGCGGGGCGTGGGGTTTGTCTCCCGTGGGGACGAGAGCGTTTTGTACATCTTTGGGGTGAAACCCCCTGGAAAAGAGAGGCGAAGGCCGCTGGATGGGTGGCACCCACCCTCCCTGTCACCCCACAAGCCACACCGGCAGCGCCGAGCACCGGCCCCGGGGGTGAGGCTGTTTTGGCCAACACCCCCCCCACACACACCTCACTCCGGGGAGCTGCATGTCTCGAGTGGGGCTTCCCTGAGTCTTCGCTGGGGAGGCAGAGGGGTGTTTGCGGGGAAACCGGGGAGGGGGGTGTTGCGGTGGTCCCCGTGTTGGTGGGGGTGTCCCCGGAAGGTGTGTGCCCTCCCCCCAAGTATGTGGGGCAGAGAAACCCGATGGGACACCACCCCCCCACCCCCCCCCCCGGCGCGGCAGTACCCCCCTCCGCGTGGGGTGCGCGGGCACCCGCGGAGCGCAGCCCCCAGGGAATCGCGGGGTGGGAGGGGGATGCCGATTCCCCCTCCCCAATAAACACCACCCCCCCCCTCCGCCCAACCCCTACCTCCTCCTCGGGCAGGCCGGGGTCGGCGGGGCCGCCCTCCCGGTCGGCGGGGAGGCTGCTCATGGTGCGTCCCGCCGGGCTCCTGCTCCCGCCGGCGGCAGCCGCGGCCGGGGCGGGCGGGGCTGGGGGCTGGGCCGGCCGGGGGGGGGCCGGGGCGGGGCGGCGGGGACCGGGGGAGGGCCGGGGAGGGAGGCGGGGGGGGGGGTGGAGTGGGGTGGGGTTGGAGACGTGGGACCACCACAGGGTCGTGGGCGCGGGCTGTGGGAGGCGGGATGCATGCGCGATGCTGGGCTGGGGGCGTGGGACACGGTCCCGGGGACGGAGGTTGGGGATGCAGGACACAGGGCTGGGGACATGGGACGGAAGGCTGGGGAACACGGGACGCGGGCCGGGGACACGGGACAGATGTTGGGTATACTGGACATAGGGTTGGGGACACGGGGCACCGTTCCACAGACACAGGACAGAGGCTGGGGACACGGAGCACCGTTCCACAGACACAGGACAGAGGCTGGGGACACAGGACACCGTCCCACAGACACAGGACAGAGGCTGGGGACACACGACAGAGGCTGGGGACACAGGACAGAGGCTGGAGATATGGGACACAGGGCTGGGGACACAGGACACCGTCCCACAGACGCAGGACAGAGGCTGGGGACACGGGACAGAGGCTGGGGATATGGGACACAGGGCTGGGGACACAGGACACCGTCCCACAGACACAGGACAGAGGCTGGGGATATGGGACACAGGGCTGGGGACACAGGTCACCATCCCACAGACACAGGACAGAGGCTGGGGACACAGGACAGAGGCTGGGGATATGGGACACAGGGCTGGGGACACAGGACACCGTCCCACAGACACAGGACAGAGGCTGGGGATATGGGACACAGGGCTGGGGACACAGGACACCGTCCCACAGACACAGGACAGAGGCTGGGGACACACGACAGAGGCTGGGGACACAGGACAGAGGCTGGAGATATGGGACACAGGGCTGGGGACACAGGACACCGTCCCACAGACACAGGACAGAGGCTGGGGACACACGACAGAGGCTGGGGACACAGGACAGAGGCTGGAGATATGGGACACAGGGCTGGGGACACAGGACACCGTCCCACAGACGCAGGACAGAGGCTGGGGACACGGGACAGAGGCTGGGGATATGGGACACAGGGCTGGGGACACAGGTCACCATCCCACAGACACAGGACAGAGGCTGGGGACACACGACAGAGGCTGGGGATATGGGACACAGGGCTGGGGACACAGGACACCGTCCCACAGACACAGGACAGAGGCTGGGGATATGGGACACAGGGCTGGGGACACAGGACACGGGGCTGGGGACACAGGACACAGTCCCGGGGACACAGGACACAGGCTAGGGACACGGGACACAGGCTGGGTACATGGGACATAGTCCCAGGGACACAGGACAGAGGTTGGGGATACAGGACACAGGGCTGGGGACATGGGACGCAGTCCCAGGGGACATGGGACACAGGCTGGGGACACTGGACACAGAGTGAAGGATACAGGACACAAGGCTTGGGACAGAAGGGTGGGGACACAGTCCTGGGGACACAGGGAACAAGGCTGGAGACTCTGGGTGCAGGGCTGGGGACACGGGGCAAGGGCCGGGGAGATGGGACAGAGTTCTGGGGATGTGGGACACGAGGCTGGGGACACGGGAGACAGTTCCTGGGATGTGGCTGCAGCCGGGCTGTGGGGCAGAGGAGGGGACAGTTCTGGGGACAGAGGGCACAGGAGGGGGGATGCAGGGGCAGGGCTGGCTGTGGGACAGGGAGCAGGGCGCCAGGGTATGGCCACGGTGGGAGGGAGGTGACATTAGAGGAGGGGGTCCCCAAGCAGCCCCACCTGGGCTCAGGGCCACCCACACCCCCTCCCTCCCTGGCCCCGGGGCTGCGTTTAGGCTCCCACCTCCCCTCCACACTTAGGCTGGGCTTTAGGTGAGACTGAGCTGGACCTTGCACCCTGCTCACTTGGATTTTACATCTCGGGTATTTTTGGGTTGACCTCAGCCCTGCCACGTCCCCGCAGGGCTGTGCTCGGCTCCGCAGCAGCGTGACAGGGACCCTCGGGACCCTGCCAGCCTCCCGGCAGCAACGATTTCCAGAGCAGAACCTCTTGTGCTGGGAGGGAGGTGGAAAGGAGCCATGCCAGCTGGATTTGGGGGAGCTCGATTTTGGGCTGGGTGGTGGAATCTGAAGCGCAGAGACTGATCTAGTCACCCAAATCTTCTGGAGTCTCTTGATTTTAGTGTAAATTCCCAGCAAAGAATAGCCTTATCTTTCAGCAAGGGGGCAAGTTGGAGAGGAGTGACATGTTTCATTTCCCCCTTGTTTTCTCCCTCCGTGGACATCTCCACAAAAACCTTGGGCTGGGGCTGCTTGGGTGGGCTGGACAATATCCACGGCCCTTCTTTGGGCTCAGCTTTGGGGAAGAGCTGCAGGACCTTGGGTTGGAATTGCAAAGCCAAAAAAAACCAAAGGTGGGTTTTTATTTATAGCCTCCCCGCGGCTGAACTCAGGGAGGAAATTCCAATCGGCTCCGCTGGGGGCTGCGTCGCTTTTGTGCCTCGGTCTGTCCCACCTGAACCCCCCCAGCCCCAAACCAAGACCCCACATCCCGCAGCCCAGCTTGGGCTTTCCTCCACGGGCGGCTGCCGATGATCTCTCCTCTCTCTCTTTCCTACAGGAATTCCTTCTCCGGCATCGCTCTCCTTCCGCGCCGTGACAAAACGCCGGGCTGCACTGCACGAAGACAGAAGGGGAAGCTGCGAACGGAATCCCTGGGGAATTTTTTTTTGGGGGGGGGGGGGGGGGCCAGCTGGGAAGCGGGGACGTACCCGAAGCTCGCCAGAAGAACGGCTCAGGAGCGGAGGAGCTCCAGTGCCGCGCTGGGAGGGGGAAGCTGAGCAGGAGGCTGGTTTTGGGGGCCAAGAGGCCGGTACCAGCCCTGGAGCCTTTCCCACCCCTCCCTGATCCGCAGGGATTTGGGGTGCGGGGCCAGGACACCCCTCGCTGCGAGGAGCGTGGCCGTCCTGCGGCGTGGGCCCATCTCCCTCTGCCGGCAAGCCGGGGAAGAAACCCACCCCGAAGGGAGGGAAGGGAAGGGACAGGCGGCCGTGTCAGCCCCCGGATGACCAGGGTGCGGCACCCGGCGGCGTCACCTCGCTCAAAAAAGGCTGCAGTCCCCCTCTTTGGCAGGAGAGCCGGTGACATTTTATTCCCCAAACGATGCACGTACAGTAGAGTTAGCAGAAGGAGCTCAGCTCTTGACAGGAGTGGAGGCGGCCTTCACGGTTTTCTTCAGGTGATGGTAATTTGGCAAGATCTTCATCAGGAAATCCAGCTGCAGCGTCTGGGGCTGGAAGCAGAGGCAAGGGAGGTCAGGGATCTGCCCGAGCTCCCCTGGAAGCCGAGGCCGGGCGGGTGCCGGCGTGTCACCCGTGTGTCTCACACCCACCTGCGGCCGCTCGGTCTGGACGCGGCGGAGGCAGTCGGCGCCGTAGATGACGGTGTTTTCCGGGATCACCTCGTAGGTGTTGATGTTGCAGCAGGCCCCGATGATGCAGCCGCTCGTCAGGATGACGTTCCTGCCAACAAATGCTACCAGAGAGAGAGGGAGAGAGAGGAATCCCTGTCAGAGCCGTGCCCGCCGTGCGGTTAAACCCCGCGTCACCCAACACCAACACCCCCAGCTGCTCAGCACCAGGAGCCAGGCCAGCCCAGCTCCCACCGAGGCAGGAGCACGCATGGGTTCTGTGTGAAAATCGCAGCTTTGTGAGAAGCTGCAGTTTGGCCTCAGCTACAGCAAGACAACGCCACGTAAGCCTCCGCTGTTCCCAGCATCTGCAAGAGCAAAACCTCACAAGAGCCAAGATGATAAGCCCAGACTTACCTTTGGATTCGATGACGTTGTTATCCCCCACCTTCATTGCTTGGGAATCTACGGGTCCGCGTTAAGGAAAAATGTTTTGCTTTTCTTTCAAAAGGTAAGCCCCAAGGCCACTTTCAAACCAACACCCTGCACCTCAGATAGCCCTGGGCTGTTTAAACCCCGACAGAGCCCACACGTGCTTGCCCTTGTACCGACCCGAAAGCGCGGTGTATCGGATGCTCTGCCCCACTGCGCAAGCAAGGATACAACACCCAACTTCGAAAACATTGTTGGTGCCAATGATCATGGGTTTGGGCTCCACCTCTTCAGTTTCTGGCGTAATATTTTCTGGATACCTGCACAGACGGATAAATTTCAGGTTTTGCGCTCGCAAAGGTACTGTCCTCTTTGGCAGCGCAATTTTGTGAGAGCCACATCTATCCCCCCCCAACCCAGCTAGGGTTTGGGGGGCTGCTTGCTCTTGCGCAGGGTCTCTCCTTCTCAGGGTTAGGATCCTTCGCCTTGGTCAGCGGGAGGAAGATTCCAAACGGGGGGATTTCAACCCCAGCCACAAGCGCCACGTCCACGGGCAAAAGCGAAGAAGGTTGTTTCGCAGTGCTGGGAGGGTTAGGGGTGCTGGCACCCCAAAAAGGAGATGCTGGGCTGGGGAATGACTTTGGAAGAGCCCTGTGCCCGCCACCCAGCTCCTTACTGACCCGTTGAGGATGAGGGCCTGCTCCTCGATCAGGTTGCCTTCCCCGATGACGATGGGCCCCGCTTCGGCGATGATCCTGGCTTTGGGGTGGATCACGGTCCTGGGCCCTGCCGAGCAACAGCCCCGCGTATCACCCCACGGCCGGCCCCCCACGCCCGCTGCAGCACCCCCGGGGGGGGGGGCGGGACGTGGGTGTGGGGGTGTGTGTGTGTGGGGCTTACCGATGGTCACGTCCCCGCGGATCTCGCTCTCCACGCACACCACGGCTCCCGGAGCGATCTTCACGCTGTGGAAAGGAAAAGGGGGGAGGGTGTAGGGTGGGAACCGCTGTGGGGAGCGGGCGGAGATGTGGGGAGGGAGAAACGGCGGCGACCCCACCACATCGTGGGGTGGGTGTGGGTGCGACACCGGGACTCACCTCTTCTGCACCTTCTCCGCCATGACAGCGCTACCGGCGGCGGCGCCTGCGCGGTGCCGGGAGGCGGGGCAATGGATACGGGGCTGGGGGCCGTTGCACCTCGGCCCTGTGCTCGGTGCTGGGTGCGGGGGGGGCCCCCCGGGGACGGCTCTTCCCACTCCGCTCCCGCGGTTCAAAGCCGGCCGGGGTTTGCCCGCCCCGGCCTCGGTGCTACCGGGGGGCGGGCGGGCGCTAGGACCCAGCAGCCGAGGGAGCGCCCCGCATCGCTGACCACGCCCCGTTCCGTAGTCACGGCTCCGCATCACGCCCCCTGCGGGGGCTCCGCCCCCCCGGCGAGACGGGGCCGCAGTGCGCCTGCGCGGGGCGGGGCCAGGGGGAGGCCCGGCTGCCGGCGGCCGCCATCTTGGCGGCCTGTCCTATCCCGGCGGCGCCGGGAGCGGAGCTCCGGAACGGCGGCGGCCGCGGCGGCCCGGCCCGGCCCGGCCCGGCCCGGGTGAGGAGGGTCGGCCGGCCGGCTGAGGGGCCGGGGCGGTTACCAGGCTGAGGGCGGGGCGGGGGGGCCGGCCCACCCGGCGCGCGGGTTTCCCCTCAGCGGGAGCGGGGCCGGGGAGCCGGGAAGGAGCCCGGGGGGAGGGGGAGCCCGGGGGGTTTTTGGGGCGCAGCGGCAGAGCCGAGGGGCTGCCCGGCTCACCGCCCGGCGCAGCGGGGGCTGCGGCCCGAAGTGCGTGTGCTCGGTCCCCGAGAGCGGAGGGGAAGGCCTGCGCCTGTTGGCCTCGGAAACGGGGCGAGCGGGTGGGTGTGGGGGGCTCCCGGGGGGGGGGGGGGAGCGGCAGGAGCGGGCGGTGCGGGAGGGGGTGGGCGGGTGCGTGGGGCCCCCCCCCCCCCCCCCCCCCGAGGCGTGGGGCCGGCGTGCACCAGGCCGGGTTAAACGTCTGAGACGGACAGATGGGCTCTGGGGAGAAAGGTGCTTTGCGGGGGGTCGGGGGGTGCCCGACCACCCACTCGTGACTGAACAATAAACTCGCTGGTCACCGTGTGTGCGGTTGTGACAGTTCATGTTCCTCGGCAAGTTGTGACAGCGGTTGATTTGCGACCGTGGCCAAAGGCGAGTTCGTTTAACCAAGCCCGAGCTGTAACGAGCTGGCGCGGAAGGGAAGAGGAGCTGGAGCTGCAGGCAAGCTGGAGCCGTCCCCAAACCGGAGCGGGACCGGGAGCAAACGGAGCCCCAGAGGAGCCGGAGCCGCTCATGAGCTGGGCCTGAAACCGGAGCAGGAGCAGCGGTGCAGACACAGACCGGGGCAGAACCGGAGCCTGAGCCGAGCCGAAGCCCTGGAGCAGAACCCCGCAGGACCCCAACCCCCCCCCAGCTTCTGCCTGGGGCTGCTTCCGTCTGTCCATCCGTCCCCACACAGGGAGAGACAAGGGACAGCCGGGGCCCAGTGAGCAAACCCGGCTGTCCCCGGCAGCCCTGCGTCCCGCTCCCCCCGCCGCTGTCCTGCTCCTTGCCCAGGCACCAGGACGAGCCTTCCCCACGCGTGGGCAGCGCCCGAGGCCCCGGGCCGGCTTTGCCCCGTCGCCGGAGCGGCCTCTGCTCCCGCCGCAGCGCGGTTTGAGCTGGAAAAGAAAGAGAGTTTTTAAGGAAAACGGGGTGCTTCGTGCAGAGCCCAGAGCTGCCCCCACTCCCCTCCGTGGCAGCGCCCGCCTGCGAGGACGGTGCCGGGCGGGGCTGAAGGGCTTGCACCCCAGTGGAAACCAGTCCCACCCCCCCAGTGGGAGCTTCCACGCTCACCAGTCCGAGCTCTCCGCGGCTTCTGCAGGAAACGGCCACCCGCGTTCAGCCCCGATTTTCCCTCTGCGGGCTCCGGGAGCGGCGGCAGCGGCTCCGGGGAGACCCTTTTCCCGCGCCTCGATTTGGGGAGCCCAGCGGCACGGCTGGGGCTGGGGCTTGACCCCCAGCCCCCCCCCCCCTCCCCCGGCAGGTGTGTGGGGGGTGATGGCGAGGAGGAAGGCTCGTAAGGATGATGGCGACACGCGGACACCTTTCCGTCACCCCTTTTATTCAAGCCGTGGTAAGTTTTAGCCCTCGCCCATCGAGCCAGCCGGTGCCGCCGTCCGGGACCCGCCCGCAGGTACCTGGAGCTCCTGTGGAGAGAAGGGAGAGGCCTTCAGCCTCAGCGGCCACCCCCAACACGGAACATCCCGTCACCCCGGGCACGGCTGCATGTCCCGTTCCCCCCCACCCCGCCCCCACACCTTCACGCGATGCCCGTCTCCAGCACATCCTCACTTTTGGAGGGCAAATTCTTGTTTAACGTCTCCATCTCTTCTGCCTTTCTCTTCCTACGCTGCTTCCGACAGTGGCTTTGGGGGGGGGGGGGGGGAGGGGGGGATGGTGTGGTAATTAAAAAAGCAGAATGAGGTATTGCAGCGATGCTGCTCCTCCTTTTTCTGCTTCCACCTTGCTGACGCACTGGGTGCGACCACGCATGGCTTCCAGCCCCGAAGCGATGCCCCACGCACCTCCCAGCACCCTCAGAGGCTGCGTCCCACCCGGCTGAGGCAGCCCCAAATTCAACCTTCCCCGAGGCGGCGGCGGTGGGCATGATCTGCTCCCAAGCCAGGGCTGCCCCTTCCCTCCCCGCCCCTCACCCCCTGTGTCCCCCCCCCGCTTCACGTACTGACTGCAGAGGCAGGCGCAGACGACGAGGATGATGAGGGTGACGGTGGCGGCGATCAAGGAGATGATCACGATCTGGCCCCGATCACCTCGCAGGTAGAAGATGTCTACCCTCTCGCAGCGAGCCCCCGTGTAGCCTCGCTCACACCTGCCCCACGGCACAGGGGAGGCAGAGGGGGGGGGGTGGTGTGTGTCCGAAAAACCACCAACGGTGCCCATGAGCCCCCCTCCCGCTCGCCCCGGGGAGGAGGGGCCCAGCATCCCCACCCTGTTTCGCCGTGGCCCCGCCAGCGGTGGCTTACACACAAGCCGGCGCCTTCTCGGCCACGAGGAAGCGACATCTCCCTTTGACGCAGTAGTGCTTGTACTCCTCCGGGCACCTGGAGAAGTGACCCTGCCGCCTCAGCTGCGTCGCGTTCCCTGGGGGGTGACAAGGACAAAGAAATCCCACCACCACCACCCCACTGGGGGTTACGGTTCTGCCGGCATCCCAGGGCTGCTCTGGGCCGGGCCAGCGGCAACGAGCGCCTGACACACGTGTCCTTGACCGTGGCGTGCTGGCCCTGACCCCTTCCCAGCTTGGTGGATGCCACACGGCCGTGCCAGACAAAACACCCTGCCTGGCCCCTCCACCCCGGCCCTCTCCCCCGCGCCGCTGCCTTACCCGTGCAGCTCTCGGCCGTGCCGCAGGCGAGCCCCTCCACGTCGTGGCCCGCGGTGACGTTGGCGTCGGCGCCCACGGAACTGAAAAAGGCCAAGCCTGAAATGCAACGGAGGCAGCTCAGAGCAGGGGAGCCTGGCCAGAGCCCCCCGGCATCACCGCCACCGCCCCACCGCAGCCCGCTCTCCCGGCCCTTGCAGCAGGGAGGGGACCGGCAAAGGGCTCTGCAGCTGTGCCCGTGGCCCCCCTTCCCTGCCAGCGTCAGCTTTTCCCCAGGGGCGAGGAGAAGGGAAAGCCGCTCCCTGCCTGCCTCCTCCACCCACCAACGCCCCAGCACGGGGGTCCAGGAGCCAGCAGGGCGCATTTCGGGGGGGGGGGGGACACAGCCGTGCCTGCAGGCAGCCAGCAGCCCCTTTCCCCAGGGAGGACTCGGGGTAGGATCCCCAGGGATGTCTGGCTTGCCACGCTGCCCTTTCTGAAGAGCCTGGGTTTCACAGCTGCTGAAAAATTCATCGGCCGTGGGAGCGAGGAGACGGCAGGACTGCGATTCAGCACCCACCAAAGCCCAGTTGCTCCCAGCGCGCCAAGTGCTAAATCCCCCACGGCAACATCCCTCACTGCTACGCCGGAGCTCGGGATGCCCGGCATGAACCAAGGCGGGAAAGGGGCAACCGTGCTCGCTGCGGCCACGGGACGAAGCCGAGGGCCAGCTCAGCCCTGGCACGTCACAGCGGCGGTAACCGGATCGCTGGCATACCAGCACTGACTCAGCACGGCCCCGCTCCGGCCCTCCCCAGGGATTCACCCGGCTGCGGTGGCACCCAGGGGAGCGGGGACAGGTCCTGCCTGATGGGGCAGGGTGCTGGGTGGCTCCCGCAGGGGTGGCACGCTGAGGTGTGTGCGTGGGGGGGGGTGTTTCCATCCCGAGCGGGCGCACTTCGCAGCTCGGCCATGTCGAGGCCTCCTGGAGATCGGGGAGGGGGGGCAGTTTGTTTGGGCAGCCTCATCCACTCCCCTGTCCCACGGCAGAGACGTTCCCAAGCACCCGCGTCCCTCCTGGCTATATATAGCCACCGCCGCGCTAACGATGTGCTTTGGGGAACCGAGCTGCCGGGGCTGAGCCTCTGCCGGGGCTGAGCCTCTGCCGGGGCTTCTCCGCCAGAGACCATCCCCTCCCCAGCCAAAAAAGCCCAGCGGGAAGAAGATGGAGCCCACCACCCAGTCCAGCCCAGGTGGGAGCTGCCCAGTGGGAGCCAGGGGACGAGCCACGAGGCGGTTGTGTGTGTCCCCCCCCCTCCCCAGGAACCAGCTGCGGGTGGCGTGGGCACAGGGCGGGAGGCTGACTTCACCCCCGCTGACCAAGTTTGCAGTTCGGCACGGAAAGGTCCCCACCAAGACGAGATCCCCACCCTTATTGCAACCAGATGCAGAAGTTTGGCACCCTCCGGGCTGGCGGCCCTTTGGCAAGGACCGCCCCGGTGGCACCGCCAGCTCCCGGGGCTGGGGGGGGGGGGGGGGGGTGGTGTGGGGGGGGGGTGCCAACCCCCCCCCCCCCCCCCGACACCCAGATCTCAGCACCCGGGAGCTGCGAGTGCAAACAGCCTCATCTCTTGGATGCACGGAGAGCCCGGCTCTGCTATCTAAGGCTGCACCCTTTCCTGAGCAGCTGGAGATAACCCAGGAAAGCATCCCAAACACCGGATTATTTTGCTGTAACACTCCCCCCCCCCTCCCCGCGCTCTCCAGGGAAAGCCCGAATTGCAGGAGCGCAACCACCCGGGGCACTGCCTTGATCCAATGGGCACCCCAGCCCCAAAACAGGTTGGCCACCCTTGATTTCCTCCTGCCAGCACAGGTTTGGCGGGTTTTGCTGAGCACCATCCAAAGGGCCAAACCCAAAGGGCTCCCGGCGGAGGGGAAGGCTCCCCCAAAACCCCCGGGGGGACTTTCTGCCGGGGGTATCGCCAAGCCCAGCTGATGTTCAGCCCTACCTGTGGTTATCTCCTGCCAGCCCCGAGCAGGCAGCTGCCTGCAGCTTTGCCGGCTTCCCACACACTGAGGAACAAACACGGGGACCCCCACGCACTTGCTGAATAGGTACTGCCCCCCTCTCCCTCCCCAATTCCCCCCATCCCCGGCGCTTCCAAGGATGGTGAAACACGAGCATTTGGGCATCCGTGAGCCATGTCCCATCAACAGGTGGCAAAAGCATCCCAGTCCCACTCCGGGGTCCAGCCAGGACGCCCCGGCCCCATGCTGGCCCCGAGGGATTCAGAGCCAAGCTGGCACGGGATTAGGGGAGCACAGGGATGGGGTGGAGGGGAGCACCAGGACAGGAACTGGGGGCACAAATGGGGAGAACTGGGATGGGAGAAGGGAAGCGTGGGGGAGTACAGGGACAGGACTGGGTAAACACCAGGCTGGGCATGGGGGAAGGAGTGGGATGGGGTTGTCCAGGGGACACAGGGAGTCAGTGGGATGGGACTGGGGAAACACCAGGGTGGGCACAGTGAGCACTGGGATGGGAGAGGGGCAGCATCAGGATGGGGGGGGGGGGGGGGGGGGCGGATATAGGGGAGCAGTGGGATGGGACGGGGCAGCACCGGGACCTTCCCCGGGCCGGGGCAGAGAGAGGACGGGGCCGGGCCGGGGGGTGGCACCGGGCCGGGACAGGGGGGGGAGCACCCGGCCGGCCCCGGGGTGCCTCCAGCCGGGCATGGGGCCGCGGGTCGGTGTGGCGGGGCAGGGGGACCCCCGTGCTTACCGGAGGCGAGGGCCAGGCAGAGCAGCAGGGGACCGGGACCGCCGCCCGGGGCCGCCGCCGCCGCCTCCATACGCGCCGCCGCCGCCGCCTGCCCGGTGCCCGGTGCCCGGTGGCTGCGGCGGGGCGGGACGGGACGGGGGCGGCCGCTGCCTGCACCTCCTCCTGCTCCTCCTCCTCCTCCTCCAGCTGCCCGGCTCGTACCCCCCACCGGAGGCATCCCTCAGCACTCCAGGGGTGCCGCCCCCCCCAACCTCCCCCCCCACGCGTGTTCCCCCCCCCCCACGCATTAACCACGCCTGCCCGTCCCGCCAGGAGCAGCCAGCGCAGGAGGCGTCCGGCCGATGACTCGCCCCAGCATCCTTGGGGGATTTCGGGGAGCGAGGGGGGACCCCCAGCCCGCCAGCCCGCTTTCCGAGTGGGGCTCCGGGCGTTCCCCTCCCCACAGGGACGGGAGGGCGAGCGGCCGGAGCCCCCCCCCTCACCCCTCTCAGCTATTTATCCCTGGCCGGCGTGTTATGGAAAAGGAAATTTATTCATAGCGAGCTGCTAATAAAACACCCTCCCAAAGCCCTTGGCAGGGAATGACGGCAGCTACAAATTATTTTGTGAGGGGCTGTGCCTTGGCACAAGCCTTCTGCACGCTGGCCTTGAGGTTTTTTTTTTTTGTTGTTTTTTGTTTTTTTCTGTTTGTTTGTTTGCTTTGGTTTGTTTTTTTGTTTTTTTTTTTGCCTTGGGGTGGCTGGGAGGATGTTTCTGGTCCCCTGAGCAATGTCTGGAGGAGGAGGAGAGCACTGCAGGTCCCCCTGGATGCTGGCAGGTCCCAGCCTGGCATCTGGGGATGCTCAGCAGGGATGCGGTGCCACAAGATGATGCTGTCCTGGCCCCAAAGAAAGCAAAAGAGCTTCTCTCGGCAAAGAGAAGTGCAGGCAGGGAGGGGTGGCAGAGCTGCTGCCTGCTCCGTGTCGTTACAAGCGGGGGGAGCGGGAAATGAAAGACTGGAAAGAACGGGTGACCTCAGACCGCAAGCTGGCAGCTATTAATGCAAGCGCTGGCAGCCACCCAGCCATGTCATTTGGCCACTGGCCAGGGGGTGAGTGAGCTCCCGTGGCCCCAGCCCGCCAAAAAACCCAGCTGCAACCTCCGGCACGCCGGTACCGCCGGCCCCACGGCTCGTGGCCACCCTGGCTGTCGGCTGGCAGCGGGGGCTGAGCCCGGCCCTGGCCCCCTGAAAGCAGGCAGGGTGTGCTAAACCACCGGAGAAAAATCGCAAAGCTCCGCTGGGGACAGAGGGGACTTGGGCAAGAGGAGGGAAACCAGCAGCTGGCACCTGGATGTGGCACGGGGCCACCCAAGAGGAGCCATCTCCATCCCTGTGGGGCAGGCAGCAGGCAGCAAAAATCCTCCTACCCACCAAGAGAAAATGATCTCCCTTCAGCATCCTTCATATCTGGATAAAAATGGGAAGAAAAAAAAAAACATTTAAAAGAGATTTTAAAAGAGCTGGAGTCCCAAGGTAGATGTCATCAGAGGCAGTGGTTTCCGTTCTCCAGTAGGAACAGGGGAGGGCTGGCAGAAGATATCTCCAAAAAGGGACCTCTCAGTGTCACTATGAGTATCACACTTTCCCTAGGGGAGGTCCAGGGACCTGTGTGGCCAGGCAGATGTCACCTCCAGAGGTGGCCAGGCAGAGGTGGCCATGCCAGCAAGACCAGTCAGAAGTGATCAGGCAGAGGTAGCCATGCTGATGAGACCAGGTAGAGGTGACCCAGCAGAGGTGACCAGGCAGGTGTGGCCCTGCTGAGGTGACCATGTCCATGAAATCCAGGCAGAGGTGGCCAGGCAAAGGTGGCCCTACTGAAGTGGCCATGCTGATGAGACGGAGCAGAGGTGACCAGGCAGAGGTGGCCATGCCAATGAGACCAGGCAGAAGTGACCAGGCAGAGGTGGCTAAGCAGAGGTGACCGTGTTGATGAGACTGGTCAGAAGTGACCAGGCAGAGGTGACCATGCTGATGAAACCAGGCAGAGTTGGCCGGGCAGAGGTGGCCATGCCAACAAGACCAGGCAGAGTTGGCCAGGCAGAGGTGGCCAGGCTGATGAGACCAGACAGAGGTGGCCCTGCTGAGGTGGCCCTGCTGATGAGACTGGTCAGAGGTGGCCAGGCAGAGGTGACCAGGCAGATGGCAGCTGAAGCCTGAGGATGGTGCCCGGTAGGGACGTTCAAGGCCTCCCCCAGCCCAGCCCTTGGCACCCCAGCACCCAGCTCAGGCCTGGGATTTGCACCCAACATCACGGTGGGGAGCGGCGGCTGTGCCCAGCCCTGTCCTCTCCTCCAAAACCTCCTCCCCATGGAAACAGGCAGCACCTTCTGCAAAAGAAAGTCCCCATAAAAATGGGAGACCAGCAGCAGGGAGATTATCACGCGGTTCCCACGGCACCAAGTTCCTGCAGCAATAACAACATTATTTTCCCTCCTCCCAAGTGGAGGAAAGGTTTCAAGGAGAGCTGAGATGCCGATGCGGCCCGATGTACAGCAAGGCAGCTGGCATCCTGGCTGCTCCAGAAATGCCAGCTGACTTGGATTTTATATTCTGCTGTTTTAGGCCTGAAGCCAGGATCCGTCCCAAGAAAATGCCACACAATGCAACAGAATAGATGGCTGCGTAACCCCAGTTAAAGACAGTTTGGCCACAGCCCAGGTTCGATGACATCCTTTTCCGTAGCGAGCCTGCAAAAACCAGGAGAAGGTGAGTTCAGCCTGAAAACATGTCACTCGTGCGTTTCAGAAAGAAAGAGGTTAAAGAGTGGCAAATGGCGCTTGTACCTCCCGCTGCGTTGCAGGGTCCGTCGGGCAGCGGGAGTTGTGTTTTGGGAGCTGTTCACACTGGGGAAAGGCTGGGCCCTGGCTGGCTGGCTCCCCAGGATCCACGCACCCGGAGCATGCCCCTGCCACGGGGCCCGGCCCCCCCAGTGTGGCAGGAGATGCTCAGCAGTGAGGGCAGGCAGGGGCAACCCCCTCCAGCCGCGCCAGGAGCGAGCCTCTGCCCCCCACCCCCACCCCCCCAAGGGCAGAGGGATGCCCTGGCATGGGGCACACAGCGTTTATTGCTTTAAAAGCAGAAGTTTTATTCAGGCAGGAACCGGTGCGGCCCAGAGGAAGAAGAGGAGCAAGAGGCAGTGCCACTGAGCACCCAGAGCACCCGCTGGGACCAGAGCACCCCCCCGCCCGGGGCGTGATGTGCTGCGCTCGGGGCTGGGTCCTGGTGTGGTGCTCAGCACCCAGTACCAACGCTGGGTGCCCAGTGCCTCATACCAGGGCAGGGCACCTATTCCAGTGCCCGTGCCCAGTATGGACTGCCCAGTGCCTGCTACCCTATGGCCAGTCTCCATCTGTAGTATGGGCTGCCCAGTGCCTGTACCCGGTACGGACTGCCCAGCGCCATCCCCTAGGGCCAGTGCCCGTGCCCAGTATGGACTGCCCAGTGACATACCGTACGGCCAGTCCCCACTGCCCCGCTGCTGACGTCCAGCACCTGGAACCCCACCGCCCCTCCCCGGTGCCCGGTGCCTGATGCCCGGTGCCCAGTGCCGGTGCTGGTGCCCGATGCCCGGTGCCTGATGCCCAGTGCCCGGTGCCCGATGCCCGGTGCCGGTGCCTGATGCCCGGTGCCCAGTGCCAGTGCCCGGTGCCCAATGCCCGGTGCTCGGTGCCTGGTGCCCAGTGCCCGGTGCCGGTGCCTGATGCCTGGTGCCCAGTGCCGGTGCTGGTGCCCGATGCCCGGTGCCAGTGCCTGATGCCCGGTGCCCGGTGCCCGGTGCCCGATGCCCGGTGCCGGTGCCTGATGCCCGGTGCCTGATGCCCGGTGCCGGTGCCCGGTGCCCAATGCCCGGTGCTGGTGCCCGGTGCCCAATGCCCGATGCCGGTGCCCGATGGCCAGTGACGGTGCCCGGTGACGGTGCCTGATGCCCAGTGCCCAGTGCTCGGTGCCTGATGCCCAGTGCCCGGTGCCGGTGCCCGGTGCCCGATGCCCGGTGCTCGGTGCCTGATGCCCAGTGCCCGGTGCCGGTGCCCGGTGCTCGGTGCCTGATGCCCGGTGCCCGATGCCCGGTGCTCGGTGCCCGATGCCGGGTGCCGGTGCCCGCCGCCCCTCCCCAGTGCCGGTGCCGGTGCCGGCAGGTGCCGCTGTGCGGCCGCTGGCGGGGGGCGGCGGCGGGGGCCGGGCCGGGGCGGGCGGCGGGGCCGGGCGGTTCGTCCCCTCCCGCCGCGGCTGCCAGCGCCGCCGGCACCATGGGCTGCTGCTGCCGCCTCCTCTTCCTCGCCTTCCTCTTCCTCCCGGCTGGTAAGCGCCCGCCGCCGCACCGGGCTTGGGAAGCGGGGGGGTGTGGGGGTGTAGCGGGGTACGGGAGGTACCGGGGACCCCCGGTGTGCGATGCGATGGGGGGAAAGGCAGCCCCGCCTTGCCGGGGGCAGCCCGGCTCCCTCCCGGCAGAGGCAGGATGCTCGGAGAAAGGCGCCGCAGAGCAAAAACCTCCCCCCCCCCCCGCCCCACGCTGCTCCCACTCACACCCCGACACCAGTGGGGCCGGGCGAGACCTCAGGGTTTCTTCCCCCTTCTTTTCCTCCATCCTTGCCCCGCAGAGGGGTCCCCGGCTGGGTGGGTGCCTGCCTGGCCTGAAGCTGGGGCGCAGGAGGACAACTTCAGGGGACCACCAGCATCCCTTCGTGGGCACCCCCCCCCCCCAGCCCAGGCTGGGGCTCACCCCCCAGCTCCGCATCCCCCTTCCCCGCACGGTCGCTGCTTTGAAGGAGCTTTTATCGCTGGCCCCGGCCTTGAGCAGAGGGTCTCCTGCACACCCGGTGCTTTTCCCAATTGGCTTAAGGCATCTCCCCCCATCTACCCCAGCAGTATCAACCTCCCCATTTCATAGAAACACCCAATTTGCCGTCTTTCCCCCGTTACAACAGTCAGAGGAGACAGTTCTGTCCCTGGCCGGTGCGACAGCGAGCACTGTCAGATGAGAGCAGGCACAGGTCATCCCGCCGTCCAGGCAGGGGAATTTTAATACACAACGCAAAGAGCTGCTTGCTCGGAAACACGAAAAAACACACTTGCATAACCAAGCGGCGGGGACGCGCACAAGGAGAAATACATCGGGCAAAGCTGTCATTATTAAATTGCTGTCGGCGTGCGGCAGAGCGGCGCGAGGGGACGAGGCTGGGCGAGGTTTTGGGTTCCCTAGGAAAGCCCACAGCCACCAGCCGTGTCCCCAAAACAGCAGCTGGCGAGGGGAACACAAAACTCATCCTGGACCACAACAGCTTCTGGGAGATCTTCCCCTGTTTAAGCGACCCCACTGGCACAAGAGGAGGGAGAGCTGCCTAAATCCTTCTCCTTGTAGAGGGAATTTGCCAGCAAGCTCTTGTTTCTGCACTTTCCAAGCGAGCGCGTTTGTGAAGGATGGGGATGAACCTACATTTTGCTCTGCAGGGATGCCACTCGCCTCCTTTGCGGGCTTCTGCTTGGCCCTGGTTTGGCCACGACTTTGACCAAGCGGCCAGCCGCTGCCGGGAGTCAGCCCTCGGCCGCTTTGGGGTTGGGAGGCGGGTTTTTCCCAGCACCCGGGCCAAACCCAAAGCTGTTCCCACGGCCATCCCTCTCTAAAGCACCAACACCAGCGAGGCTTGGCAGAAGAGCCAGGAAAGATTTCCCTGGAGTATGGTCCTGTGGCTGCTCCCAAACATCCCCAAAACCCCGAATCTTTCAGATGCTTGTCCCCATATAAATAATAATGAAAAATATATATATATTTATCACCCATGGGGAAAAAAAGAACCCATGATTTAAGTACACTTCAAGCTTATTATTCAGGACTTAGTGATAGAAAGGACGTCACTGGGCAGGAGTAAAATGAGACCAGGCTTTGCCTGGCCGCATAATGAAATAATAGCATCTCACACAAGGAAGTTTTTACTCTATTATTACTTCTTACCCTGGATGCAAACCTGCTTTCCTGACATGATGCCTGGCCCCATGTGAACACCCCGTTGCTGTGGCCCTGAGCCCGCTTTCCCCTTTCTCAGTTTGCTCTGCTCCCCAGCTGAGATATTTTAAAGTACCTGCAAGAGGCAGCTTTCAGCTTTAAAGGCTTTGGGTGCTTCTGCAAGGAACCTCCGGGGAGGAAAAGCTGCTTTTTGGGGGTCTTGGGGCCTGGCACCAGGGGATTTTTTGAGCTTCCACGGAGGAGGCAGTGCTTTGAGCACTTCTGGCCCTGCTCCCTGGTATCCTGAAGGTTGGGGGAGATGGGTAGTTCATTATCCCCTCTCCCAGGCCAAATGAGCAAGCGACAGCTTTGGCCTCTAATACCAGAGGATGCTCAATAATTCCTCTGCTGAACCCCATTGCTTCCCTTCCCGGGGAAGCCTGGGATGGGGCTGACGCCTTGTTGAAAGCTGCACCTAGAAGCAGTAATTAGCAGCTAGCCAAGAAAATGATTTAGCTGGTGTGTTGTCATTTGGGCAGAACTGCTGTTTGCAAGGCGCCTGGCTGGCTTGGCAGTCATATCCAGGAGATCCATCCACCCGGGAAAATGCATTGTGAGGGGCCGGACCCCAGCCGCACGGGCAGGCAGGTCCCAGCCCAAAGAGCTGACAAATGGTTTCTCCTCCGATGGCCTAACGTCCCAGGGAAATAAGCACAGCGTGACACGTATTTGCACGTTTCAAAAATAAAAAATACTTTAGATATTGCCTGCTATATTTAAACAAGCGAAAGTCGTTTTAGAAAGAGCTGGTGCTGTGAGCTACTGCTTTTAATGAGGGCAAGCTCAGACCAAGAGGAAAAGTTCCCACACTGCCCAGCAGCCTCATTAGGCCCAGCAATCAGCTAAAGCCACCGTGCAAGGTGACAGCCTGCCAGCACACCCCAAGGGGGGACACAGGGCCTTGCCATCCAGGCGTTCTCCAGGAACGAAGAGGTTTTCCACCCCTCGTCCTCATCAGACACCTCTGGCCACATGGGTTGACTGGTAGCCACAGGTTACTTTGTCAATCTCAGGAGCAAAACCTCTAAAGACTCCTTGTCACCTTCTTTTCTGCTATCATTTTATTGCAACTTCAGGATCAAGTCCTTCATGAGTTGAGGAATTAAGCAGGACTTAGCATTTGGGGGGGCGGGGAGGTGGGAAACACTGTGTTTTCTTTGCACAGAGGGTGTTGTGGCCACCCAACTCTGCAGCAGCTGGGAAGGGTGGGTTTGTTGTGCAACCAACAGCCCTTGATGCTGGGTTTGGACATTGGGGCAGACGGTTGCCTGAGGAGGACCTGGACACCCGCCCTAGGCTTCCCCTGGCAAGGAAGGAGCTAGCCATAGGGACCACGCAGCATGCAGGTAACCATCTATATTTTCAAAGTTGGCATTATCGGTTTTAGCTGGGAAGAGCAGAGACCGCGCGGGATGGTGAAGCTTGTCTGCCTGGTTTCTCAAGAGCAATCTTTCTGCAACAGCTTTCCTCAGGGTCTCAAAAACAGGCAAGGGAGAGCCAGGACCCCGTGTTAGCTCCTTCCCCCCATGCGATAGCCTGGAGGTGAGCAGCGGCTGCTCCCAAGCCAGGCTGTAACCCATCAGCCACTGAAGACCTCTCTTAGAGCCTCTCCTTGCCAGCTTGCCCCAACCCCTCAACTCCATGTGCTTGGCCACATGAATTTTGCCCTTGCCTTTTGCAAAAGACAGGCCACGCGTCTACAGGAGGTGCCGGTACAACCCCGACACCCTGGGGGGTGGATACTGGTGGGTTTGCTCAGCAGCAAACCCGGGGGGTTGCTGTGAGCTCAAGGTGGGCTTCCAAGGGACATCCCCAGGGTGCCCCGGCCGGCTGCATGTCTGGGACACCCTCTCCCCCAGGGATGGGGCCTCTGCATGGTGAGGGACACGTGGAGACAGCGCACTGATTTCCATTGCGTAGCTGTTTCTCTTAGCTACAGAAAGCTTCAGGCTTCGGAGCAATTAGACCTAAACCACTTAACAACCGTGCAGCAGAAGAAAACTAATCACGCAGAAAGCCAGCTCAGCTCGCCAGTAAATCAGAGCAACTGCAGATTTATTTGATCTGATGGCCTTGGCTTCTTTACGCAGTTACTGGATAGCTTTGCCTTTTACTTGTTGATGTTTCTGGCCCTTGGTTTTCTCACTTGGTTTCTTCCTCCTCTCGCGGCTGGTTTTATACCATCACCAACACAACCTGGCATCGAAAAGAACGCAGGGGCCGAGCAGGCAGCAAGGAAGCAGCACATCACCCAGGGGTGCTCCCGCTGCTCCTAGCATTATAAGCACACACACACGTGCAGTGCTGAAGCTTTACTACAGACCTGGAGAGCCACCAGGTTGGCCCTGGCTTACTCACTGAAGCTCAACAGCAGCTAGAGATGTCCTCAAGGGTTACTACTCAAGTGTAGCAACCCAGCTGGGTGATTTTTCTGGAATGGCATGGAAAGCTTGTAGGGTTTGAGACAGCGCTTAGACCCTGCAGAGCTGCTCCCAGACCACCCCATCATCCTTACTTCTTGGGGATAACAAGGCAGGGCTCTACAACAGTGCCCTAGAAGAGCAGAAACACGAGTTCAAAGTCCAAGACAACCGCCACATTCTCTCTCTTTCTTCTCCCATATTATTACAGAGCTTAGTCAGACCCTTGTTTACTGCAGATGGGGCCCTCCAACTAAAGAGGAGAGAAATGAACATCACCAAAGCCCAAATTACATGGTGACAGAGAAGGTGAGGCAGCCCAGTGCTGAACAGCTTGAAAAACAAGTCGAACCCAAAACAAAAACCAGTTTTATTTAGTTTTAGCCATCACAGGGAGACCTTTTGCCATCCACAGCTAGATGCTACCAGTTTCATAGCTAAAAAGGAATAGCACAATAAAAGTTACACCTGAGCATGAACAAGGGGGAAGGGAACTGCAGAAAAACAACACAAGGTATGGAAATCCTCAACCACAGAAACCAAAGCCAAGCCAACAAGGTCATGAACAGGAAGTGCGCAGCCTATATTTAAGCATAAATTGTTTTACTGCTCTGCATCGCTTAACCCAGTAATAAACCAACACATGCTGCAGGCCCAGAGGAGTCAGAGTTGTTCTATCAGCATTACTTTGTGAGAGCCAGCGTAATATAGTACCTGCAGAAGGTCAAAGAATGTTGTGCATGACCAAACCCATCACCCAGAGTGAGCCGCGCCAACTTACCTTGGCTTTTAGTGTCCAGTTGCTCCTCTGAGAAAGCTGAAAGAAAAACTCATGCCTGCGCACGTGCTTTCTCTCACTAATGCTGTTATATACAATT